TGGGCTGGATAAAACACAAGCTGAAATCAAGATTGCTGGGAGAAATATCAATAACCTCAGATATGCAGATGACATCACTCTAATGGCAAAAACAAAGAACTAAAGAGCCTTTTGATGAAAGTAAAAGGAGAGTGAAAAAGTTGGCTTAAAACTTGACATTCAGAAAACTAAGATCATGGCATCCAGTCCCATCTCTTCATGAGAAATAGATGGAGAAACAATGGAAACAGTGACAGACTTTTATTTTGGGGGGCTCCAAAATCACTGCAGATTGTGACTGCAGCCATGAAATTAAAAGACACTTGCTCCTTGAAAGAAAAGTTATGACTAACCTAGACAGCATATTAAAAAGCAGAGACATTACTTTACCAAAAAATGTCCATCTAGTCAAAGCTGTGGTTTTTCCAGTAGTCATGTGTGGATGTGAGAATTGGACTATAAAGAAAGCTGAGTGCCGAAGAATTGATGCTTTTGAACTGTGATGTTGGAGAAGACTCTTGAGAGTCCCTTAGACTGCAAGGAGATCCAACCAGTCCATCCTAAAGGAAATTAGTCCTGAATATTCATTGGAAGATCTATTGCTGAAGCTGAAACTCCAATACCTTGGCCACCTGATGGGAAAAACTGACTCATTGGAAAAGACCCTGATGCTGGGAAAGACTGAAAGCAAAAGGTGAAGGGGACAACAGAGGAGGAGATGGTTGGATGTCATCACCAACTCAATGGACATGAGTTTGAGTAAGCTCTGGGAGTTGGTGATGGACAGGGAAGCATGGTGTGCTAAAGTCCATGGGGTCACAAAGCGTCAGCCATGACTGAACGACTGAACTGAACAGTATGTTTAGGGTTTCTCAAGTGGTGCTAGTGATAAAGAACCCATCTGCCAATGTGGGAGGTATAAGAGCCAGAGATTCTGCCCCTGGGTTGGAATATTCCCTGGAGGGGGAGGGCATGGCAACCCACTCCAGTATTCTTACCTGGAGAATCCCATGGACAGAGGAACCTGGCAGTCTATAGTCCATAGGGTCACAAAGAGTTGGACGTGAGTAAACTGACTTAGCATACATGCACACAGAAGTATGTTTGTAGCAAAATCAATGTTTTTCCATGAAAAATGATACATTATCATATTTGTAGTTTTATAAAAAAATATTTTTACCAACTGTATCATTTTTTCTGGGATGAAAACATCTTAAGTTGCCATAACTATAAATATTGACTATAACAATATCTAAATTATTATGTTTCAGTTCTCTTATGAAACTTGTAAAATAAAAGATAGGACATCTACTGTAATTAAGTAGTGAGCAAGTAGAACACATACTTTCCAGAAGGTATAAAATAACCTTAATGAAGAGAGAAGATCTCAACACACCACAGTCCACTTATGATGCCTCCGAGTAGTTAGACTTCTAAAACATTAAATCAAGTATTTAACAAAATTTGAATCCAAAGAGACTATTTTTTCTTTTAGATAACAAACTAATTATACTATCATGGAGCAGTTGGGGGAAAAGCCAACCTAAAAATCAAATTGCAAGATAAAATAAGCACATGCTGAAACACATGATAGTTTGTTTTTAAACAGCATCTATATTTTTAAATGGCATAATTATTTTTGATACTGTATTTAGTGCAGCTAACAGTATTGCTTCAAAAATTTTAACTAACTCACAATAAAAGATTTCATAATGCACCTCTGCTACATGTGTATATCAGAGGAAAGAGTCATTAGCAAATGTTTTTCCACAGCTACAGATTTAATCAACACAGTTCAGAAGTGAAGTTAAAACTCATGATTTCCATGTCTAAGTGAAATCATGATAGCCCTAAAAGTTTTTCCTTGATCTCATCTTTACTACATATGAGCTTTGATTGTTGTCATTTTAAGCTAGTATTATGAGAAATAAATGTAAAAATCAGGTCCTCCCATCAGATGAAAAGTACTGGAGTAAGAAATGAATTTGATTTTCCATTTACCCTATCATCATAGAAAGTTTCATTGTCTAATATATATATATATTTTTTATTTTTTAATGTTTGAAGTTGACCCTAGAAACTTCCAGCTGAAACCACCATTTCGATTTTTTTTGCTAACATTTTTATTCAAATTCACCTTTTGGTAAGCTGGTTTGAGGTAATTACATTTTTCTATATGTGAGGACTACAGACTGTAATGAAATAATCCCTTGCAGCCACCCTGTTTCTTAATATGAGCAAAGTTAATTTCAGAAATGACCTTGAAGACTTGACAAAATTATTATAAAATACTCATTTATCAGAAAAAAATTGGCATTGCACTATTTGAGACAGATTTGCACTATTTAAAGATGTCACTCAAGATTGCCCTAAAAGTCAAATAATTGAGTCATAATATAATGTACTATGAATAATATAAAGGACTTTCTCTATTATCAGAAATGTGGGTCTTTGGTTTTCTGATTCCACAGTTTATAAAGGAACTAAATTTTTTTGAAGGACCTAAATTTGTTTGAAGTAAAATTATTAAAAATAACTTTTTATGCAGTGGTTATTGACCTGATTTTATGAAAACACCTATTCTGTCTCCTCTCCCTCCAAGGAGGTTTTACTGAATTTTATTTCTTATGTATTTATTTGGATTGTCTTCCAATCAGTGAATACTTGTTTCCTTGTTGTAAACATCAATGCCTCAGGGAGTGAAACCCAGAAATCAAATCGAATTTGATGTTCATCTTTTCATTTATCAGGTAAACCTAGTTATCTATATTTTAAAAGCATATATAGTACTATTTTATAGTATGTATAACACATATACTTCTATGCATAAAGAATCATGTGTATAGTATCACATGTGTGTATAGTTACATTTAAATATCCTATCATGCTAGATAACAATAGAGATATTACAGAATTGTGAATGGAATTACATCTGATGATGGGAGGGTGAAAGTACACCCTTTAGCAGAAGGGTGAAAGTACAGTGCCACGATGAGAAGGATGAAAGAAAATTTACACCAGAAATGAGAAAGGTACTTGTTGAAAAGAAACGGAATAATAAGGAGCAAAACATTTACTTAGTTACTGTGCTTAGTGAACAACTCATTTTCTGTCCTTACCCCGTATTTCCAGCATGAGGATTTTCCCTTGGATTAAGTTGGAGAAGAAAATGGCAACCCACTCCAATATTCTTGCCTGGAGAGTCCCATGGACGGAGGAGCCTGGTGGGCTACAGTCCATGGGGTCGCTAACAGTCGTACACGACTGAGCGACTTCACTTTCAGTTTTCACTTTTCATGCATTGGAGAAGGAAATGACAACCCACTCCAGTGTTCTTGCCTGGAGAATCCCAGGGACGGGGGAGCCTGGTGGGCTGCCATCTATGGGGTTTCACAGAGTCGGACACGACTGAAGCGACAGCAGCAGCAGGTGGTGTTCAACACAATTTTTTTCCATGAGTGATTTTCCTTTTCTAACCCCATTCCTAAAAAGTCATAGACTTTTATAATAGACTTTCCATAATAACTTCAGGAAAATTCTGAGCTTAATATGATCAGATCTATGTGGGACTTCAATACAATATCTGATACTTTGAATCTACTTGATTGCAGTTTATACCCTCTTACTGTTGTAGTTCAGCAAATTCAAATTTTCAACACTTACCAAGACTGCTGAGCATAGCATCTTTTATCCTATATATATGGTTACTGGAAAATAAGCATCAAGAAATATACAGATAAATGGGGGGAGGGCAAAAGAGGATGGAGGTGAGGAGGGAAAGATTGCTGTAGCTTTTAGTTGAAAATAGTCATCAGGAAGTATATAACCGGCAAGGAAAAGAGAAGAGGGAAACTTAGCTATGGATTTACTGTGGGAAAATGACGAATATGAGAAGAGGAATAATAATAAAGCCGCATTCTGCACCATGATTATCTGTTTAGGGGAAAGGTCTACAAAGATCAGAAGAGGATTTAGTTGAGAAAGAATGGAAGACGAGAGGAAATGTGAAGAGGAAAAGTGAAAAGAATAGAGAGGTAAGACAAGATTACTTTTCATAATAACTTCTTTAATAATCTTTGGTCAACATAATATTCAGAATGAATGAATGAATGTCTATAATAATAGGAATGTTTAGCTCTTTTATGGAGTGTAAGCTACTTGGTGGCAAAGACCTTAACAGATCTTTCAATAATCATGTAATGCGATTACATGCACCTTGTAGGAGATCAGGAGACTTGAGGTGTCTATTGTGGTAACTCTAGAGTAAACTTACCATCAATATATTAATATAAAAAAATAGAAATGAATCAGTGACTTCTTCAGTAGGACAACAGGATGCTGTAACCATTAATACCTCTTTTTGCAATTTACTAAAAAATACACCTAGTCACTTTTATATTTTTTTCTTTGTACTGTGTTTTCTGCATATGTAAACTCATACCCATATAATCCATGTGGAAAAGTTATGGGAAAACCAAGTCTGGTAACAATTCACCGAATTCAAATGTTAAAGGAGTACTTGTGGTGATTTGACACAAATTTAAATTTTGTCATGATTTCAAGAAGAATGAAGCACCCTGCTTTAAAATTTAAAGATAATTAGGAGGAAATGATTTTAATTAAATATAGGCACATATTTGTGTAAGGAGATTTGTGAGGGTGTTTAAGCAACTAAACCGAAAGATTTTGAGGTCAACTCAACAGTAGTCATATGATAGATATCATGAGCCAGTTGATAAGATCACCTCAATCAGGAAAAAAAGAAAATAATAAAGGAAGAGTGATTTTTAGGAAGAAAATAGTCTTACTAATAGTAGCTTTAAGCCACACAAAGCAGCATGGTGACATGACTAACAGTGTGGGAGATATTTTGATACATGTGCATAATGGGGAATTACCTGGTAACTCAGTCAATAAAGAATGTCTGCAGTGCAGGAGACCAGAGCTCAATCCCTGGGTCAGGAAGATCCCTTGGAGAAGGGAATGGCGACCCACTCCAGTATTCTTTCCTGGAATATCCCATGGACAGAGGATCCTGGCTGGCTACAGTCCATGGTGGTCATGAGTTGGACACAACTTTGCAACTAAAGCACCACATGATGAGAGACATACAGAGAGTATGTGTTATTTTCACCTTGATATATAATCCTAGAATCTATGCAAAGAATAGAGTCTTTTTCTTAATAAGTTCTATTTCCTCCCAATACAGAAAATACTTGTACAAAAATATCTATTACTGGACAGTTTCAGGAGCTCCCCTGGTGGTTCAGACAGTAAAGAATCTGCCACCTATATGGGAGACCAAGGTTCCGTCCCTGAGTTGGGAAGATCCCCTGGAGAAGGGAAGGGTTACCCACTCCAGTAATGTGGCCTGGAGAATTCCATGGACATAGGAGTCTGGAAGGCTACCATCCATGGGGCTGCAAAGAGTCAGACACAGCTGAGTGACTTTCACGTTTATGATTTTAAGCTAAAAAGCATTGCATTTCTGACTTGACTTTAGTTATTCCTTCTAATGGTTCACGTAATAAAATAATTTTCTTGTCCAAATAGCAGAAATGTGTGGTTTTGATGGGAGTAATATTTCATTATTCCATCTCTTTTCCCAACATAGTATTGCTAATTGTAAATCACATAACAATGCTTTCCATTCTTCACCATAGGATTTGGCTTGCTTTACTTTGAAGTATTTTTTCTCAAGATATGTATGATGAAATTCCTTCAGGGTAACACCCTTGTTTTTATGCCCTATGCAAATGAACAAAAAACTTTGTTTAATTTTCTGAGAGTGTTTAGATGTCTATCATTAATTCATGCTAAATGAAGAGCATAGTCTTTAGTTTTTCACTGTGGGTTTCTGGTAACTTCAACTTGAACTTACAGAGTATCAGATACACCCAAGCTTGAATGCAAGTCCAAAATGTGAATAACCTTAGTCTTTTCTGCTATATGTGTTTTGTTGATGTATGCTTCATATAAATATACATATTTACATATTTTATCTTCACAGGAATTAGCTGCATGAATTCACATATATTTGTCTATGTGATTGAACTATAAAATTAAATAAAAATCAAATTTTGGGTAAAATAAATTCACAAGTTTAGAAGCTATTGGCATAGGAAATGACAATCCACTCCAGTGTTCTTGCTTGGAGAATTCCATGGACAGAGGAGCGTGGCATGCTGCTGTCCATGGGGTCGCAAGGAGTCAGACACAACTGGGAGATTAACACACACAGAGAAGGTGTGTTTATATGATATCCATAAAAAATTATAGCATTGTATTTATGTTTCTGTAATAAAGAAAATAACTCTAAACCAGAGAAACTCTGAGAAACTAGGAAAGGTTTAAGATATTCAAAGGAGAGTCAGCCCTGATTCATTATTTTGTAGAACATCATTAAAAAGTTATTTTGTTTTTTATTTTATTTTATTTATTTATTTTAGTGGTTTTTGTCATACATTGACATGAATCAGCCATTGATTTACATGTATTCCCTATCCCAGTCCCCCCTCCCACCTCCCTCTCCACCCGATCTCTCTGGGTCTTCCCAGTGCACCAGGCCCGAGCACTTGTCTCATGCACCCAACCTGGGCTGCTGATCTGTTTCACCCTAGATAATATACATGTTTCGATGCTGTTCTCTTGAAACATCCCACCCTCGCCTTCTCCCACAGAGTCCACAAGTCTGTTCTATACATCTGAGTCTCTTTTTCTGTTTTGCATGTAGGGTTATCGTTACCATCTTTCTAAATTCCATATATATGTGTTAGTATACTGTAATGGTCTTTATCTTTCTGGCTTACTTCGCTCTGTATAATGGGCTCCAGTTTCATCCATCTCATTAGAACTGATTCAAATGAATTCTTTTTAATGGCTGAGTAATATTCCATGGTGTATATGTACCACAGCTTCCTCATCCATTCGTCTGCTGATGGGCATCTAGGTTGCTTCCATGTCCTGTCTATTATAAACAGTGCTGCGATGAACATTGGGGTGCATGTGTCTCTTTCAGATCTGGTTTCCTCAGTGTGTATGCCCAGAAGTGGGATTGCTGGGTCATATGGCAGTTCTATTTCCAGCTTTTTAAGAAATCTCCACACTGTTTTCCATAGTGGCTGTACTAATTTGCATTCCCACCAACAGTGTAAGAGGGTTCCCTTTTCTCTACACCCTCTCCAGCATTTATTGCTTGTAGACTTTTGGATAGCAGCCATCCTGACTGGCGTGTAATGGTACCTCACTGTGGTTTTGATTTGCATTTCTCTGATAATGAGTGATGTTGAGCATCTTAAAAAGTTATTTTGAATGACCTCACTTAATCATCATGTCACTACAGCTGATTGACCTTAGGTAAGTCACATAGTCTCTTTGATCTCAAGTATCCTTGTCTCTAAACTTAAAAGGCTGAGTTTGACAAACTGCCCCCAAATAGAGCTGAGAAAGGGGAAAAAAAGGAGGTTCTAGAGGCTGCATGACCTTTGCTCTGGAAAAGAGAGGCAGGGAGATACAGTATGTCCCTAAGTGTATTTTATGGTCTGAAAGTGTACTGATAATTTTATATGAAAATCTCAGAAAATTATAATAAAATTAATACATACTTAGTATCCTACAAAGACACAGGAATGCCTACTTAGCAATAATAAATATTTCAATGACAGATACTGTATTAATATAATGCATTATTTTAAAAGATAGTCACGGGATAAGAGAAAGAATAAGATTCAGAATGAAATACAAATGTTTTAGTAGTAGCCTGCTCCAGTAAAATGTATTCAGATATCTTCACCTTAACCTTGAACATGTAGTTTCTTATTACCAATATTTAATAAAAGCAAATATGTTTTCCTCAAGACTAGACATAAGTTGATTTTATCTGGATTACTTCTTACAGTGACAGTGCACAACAATGCTCAGTAATTTCTTTTCGAATATACTAGATACATTTTTGTAGAACTCTGATTGTGTACTTTTGCTACCCATGAGAAAGTAACATAACACAGCATAATGGTTAAGATTATGAATTTTAGAGCCACATTAACTGGATCTAAACCTTGGCTCTGATACTTGCAAGTTGTAGGGCTTAGGGAAGTGACATTAGCTCTTCGTGAGAGTTTCTTCATACAGCTTTTGTGAGGGTAAATGGTGGGTTGGATATGAAAGAACACAGCCCAGTGTCAGACACAAAGTTAAGTACTATAAAAGTGCTAACTGTTTGACATCATAATTATCCTTTTTTCCATTTTTTTATTATATAAATGAATATATTGAATTAGAATTTTTCATGTGTCATAACCTTACATATTTAGGCTATGGATTTCACTAGTCACACTAAGGTCCTTTTAACAGGAAGGGCTGGGATAAATGGAAATCTACATTTAACCCATCATGAATCATAAAATGTACCTCATTTCAAATATAATGAAGAGCAGAATATATTCTTCAAGACTCTGTTTACAATGGATGAAGACTTTCTAACAAGAGATAAAACCTGCATGTTTCAGATATGGAATAAAGCATTTAATCCACCTGTGAAACAAATATGCATTAAAAGTCTGTCTCCATGACATTGAACATCCTGTTCTATAAATATGAAACTGTCCCTGCTCTCAAGGAGTTTACAGTCTGTAGAAAAGATATAAATTATCATATGCAATTATGCTCCAAGGAAATAAGAAACTCGGTGATATTCAAAGAGAGATCATGGGGAGAAGTCACAAGAAAAGTACCATATAGCACATAAGAGGGGGCAAATTTGAAGTAGGGCAATGCAGGATGAATAGGATAGAAGGTGAACATTCCAGCCAGAAGTAATAGTGTAAGGAAAGGCAGAGAAAAGAAACAGGTGATGTGAAGGCAATAATTAAATAGTATTGAATTTTCATGAGAGTGAAATAAATTCACAAATATATTTAAATAATTCTCTTATCAAGAAAAACCTAACTATAATGAACGAATTTCTATTTTTTCTCTTATGAAGAATACTAACTCATTATGCTTTACCAGAATCAGCAATTAGTGCTACTTAATAGAGAGAGGGGGAAAAAAGATGTGAAATAAAAACCCCTTTGGCTTAGACTTTCTCCAGTTTAAAAAAGAATTGATGTCTTTTGAGTTAATGGTCTCATAAAAAAAAAAATAAAAAAATAAAAAAAAAAAACAAGAGCAGCAAGAGCAAAAACAGAGAAAGTTCTATTTTCAGGTTGAAGTAAACATTAAAAACAGAGGAAGACTTTAAATATGCTTAGAAGCTATTTTCTAGCTATTGAAATATAGTGTAGAGCAGTACTTTGTAGTAGCATGGAATTACTTTTAGGAAAGTAACTTAATCAGTTTTGTTTCATGTTTAAACCTTTCCTTACTAACAGAAAAGAATCAACATTAAGTAGGAGAGTATGTCGTGAATTCAAATGAATGTTTTTGCTTTTAGGATATTCTCTTACTGCTAAGCAATCCAATAAAACATAGCACCTGAAAGAACAATATTGAAGCATTTTCAAACTTTTGGAAGGAAGGAAAGACTGAGAGGAAGAAATGAAGGGGTGGGAGGAAAAGGGAAAAGAGGAAGGTGAAGGTGAGAGAGCAGAGATTTTCTAATAACTGAGCATTTTTATATCTGTAACAAAAATATTCTCCTTGAAAGATTACTTGCTCCAGTGGTTTTAATGGACATTTTGTAGGGAACTGGTGGCCTTGTTCTCTTACTAAAATTCAAGGCCACTGAGAAAAATATATCTTTTCCCATGGAAACAAGCAATTTCATGAACCTTCTAGGGAGCATATGGTCACCACTAATCTAGTGACTTAATCCTCTCCTTTGGGTCTCTTATTCTATTTCAGGTTATCTATCCTTTGCCTCCAGGCAGGACTGCAACTAAGCCATGTAAAACAGATGGGTTTCTAGCTAGTCAAGATTTCCAGAGAAGTCATTTTTACAGCCTCTCAACATTAATCAAAATAACCAGCCAGCCCCAGAATTTAGAAGGAAAAGCAAAATGTTCCAAGTAGGCAAAAATTATTGTTAAACAAACACAAATTAAATACTTTGCATACTACATAAGGGTCTTTACAGATCCAGATCTAGGTTTTCTTTTGTTTTTGAATGTCTTTTTTGTTACCACCTTCTTAAATCTTTTAAGTCATAGTGGCGATTCGCCCCTGCCCCAATCAATTCAATACTGAAAAGATTTGAAATGGTATTTCCTAAATAAAAATGTGAACTTTTACAAAGGGAAAAGGTAGTTCCCCAAAAACAAAATTTAAATAACATATGGGAAAAAGTCTAAGCTGTTTAACTGACTTTTACGACTTCCTACAGCTTTGCATTTTTGTATCATCAGGTTTTACAGCTAATTTATTTTGTTCTGCACAATTCTTTGTCAGCGTTGGC